CTTTACCAAGGATGCTGACGCGATGTATAACAATTTCCGGGTCTATGGCACATTGCTGCTCATTTTTATGGGTGAGTTAAACTAAAGGACCAGTAGTAAGGAATTAACTTTAATGTCCTGGCAATAAATCAAGGTCTCATTGTGTTCCTCGGCGTGAAATTCGTCAATAAGTTCGCAACGGTGGCCCTGGCCTGTGTCATACTGTCGATAATAGCGGTGTATGTGGGAATATTTGACAATATCCATGGCAACGAAAAGCTATAGTAAGTGCCCACCGAGTATTACTTTTGAATGGCCACTTAAGCTCCGCTTGATTGCAGCATGTGTGTTCTGGGAAAACGACTCTTGAAGGATATCCCCCTTGACAACTGCACAAAGGAAGACTCGTTTATGCGCGACATATACTGCCCGGATGGTAAATGCGATGAATACTTCCTAGGTAAGGAATTTCAATAGTTTTCCCCACACCGAATATACAAAAAATTCTCCTTTTCTCCTAAACCAATAGCCAACAACGTGACTAAAGTGAAGGGCATCAAGGGTTTGGCTAGTGGAGTCTTCTACGACAACATCTTTCCTTCGTTTTTGGAGAAGGGACAGTTCATATCCTACGGAAAGAATGCAATTGACATTGAGAACACCGATGGCCAGTCATACAATCAGATCATGGCCGATATTACCACATCTTTCACCCTTCTTATCGGCATCTTCTTCCCATCGGTCACAGGTTGGTTCTAGCTAGTGTTATTATTTGTATATATCATATATCATATATGTTATCTTTTTCTATTCAGGCATCATGGCTGGATCCAATCGATCTGGTGATCTGGCTGACGCACAGAAAAGCATACCCATCGGAACGATTTGTGCCATTCTGACGACCAGCACAGTCTATTTATCCAGCGTTATGTTCTTCGCCGGCACAGTGGATAATCTGCTGCTAAGAGACAAGTGAGTACTATTCATCGGTATAAGCTTATTTAATAATTAATTTGTCCCATCAATTTAGATTCGGTCAATCCATCGGTGGGAAATTGGTCGTGGCCAACATCGCCTGGCCAAATCAGTGGGTCATCTTGATTGGCTCATTCCTGTCCACCTTGGGAGCTGGTCTGCAAAGTTTAACTGGAGCTCCCCGCCTGCTGCAGGCTATTGCTAGGGATGAGATTATTCCCTTCTTGGCTCCGTTTGCCAAATCCTCGAAACGTGGCGAACCCACCCGTGCCCTGCTCCTGACCATCGTCATTTGCCAGTGCGGAATTCTCTTGGGTAAGCTTTGGGTCCCATGTTTTTGATTGTGATTATAAGATTATGACCCACAGGCAATGTGGACTTGCTGGCGCCTCTGCTGTCCATGTTCTTCCTCATGTGCTACGGCTTTGTTAACCTGGCTTGTGCCGTACAAACCCTGCTGAGGACTCCCAACTGGAGACCCCGCTTCAAGTTCTACCACTGGAGCTTGTCGCTGATCGGCCTGACGCTGTGCATATCAGTCATGATCATGACTTCCTGGTATTTCGCACTGATTGCTATGGGAATGGCCATCATCATATATAAATACATAGAGTACCGAGGGTAAGTTATATCTATATATCCATAAGGAAGCAGCTCTTAATTATTCGAGTTGCAGTGCTGAGAAGGAGTGGGGTGATGGCATTCGTGGAATGGCCCTTACCGCCGCCAGGTACTCGCTCCTCCGCCTGGAGGAAGGCCCACCGCATACGAAAAATTGGCGTCCCCAAATTTTGGTGCTTTCGAAGCTCAACGATAACCTCTTGCCAAAGTATAGGAAGATATTCTCCTTTGCCACTCAGCTAAAAGCTGGCAAGGGATTGACAATTTGTGTGTCTGTGATAAAGGGCGACCACACCAAGATTACCAACAAGGCCGTGGATGCGAAATCCACGCTGCGCAAATACATGACCGACGAGAAGGTGAAGGGATTCTGCGATGTTCTGGTATCCCAACAGATCGGCGAGGGTCTCAGTTCAGTGTAAGTTGGCTAAGGAAAGAGATAACTAAGTGCGCTTATAATTAAATTTTCGAAAACAGCATTCAAACGATTGGACTGGGCGGCATGAAGCCTAACACTGTCATCATCGGATGGCCATATAGCTGGCGGCAGGAGGGCAGGAACAGCTGGAAGACCTTCATCCAAACGGTCCGCACAGTATCCGCCTGCCACATGGCTCTCATGGTGCCCAAGGGCATAAACTTCTACCCAGAATCAAACCACAAAGTAGTATTTACCTAACCGAATTCGTAGTCTTCGGTGTATAACATGCATAACCATTTTCAGATTGGTGGCAACATTGATATCTGGTGGATTGTCCACGACGGTGGTCTGCTCATGTTGCTGCCCTTCCTGCTGAAGCAGCACCGCACCTGGCGCAATTGCAAGCTTAGGATCTTCACAGTTGCTCAAATCGAGGACAACTCGATTCAAATGAAGAAGGATCTAAAGACATTCCTGTACCATCTTCGAATCGAAGCCGATGTCGAAGTTGTTGAGATGGTAAGATATATCCGAAAGAAGAAATTAAAAACCCATTAAAACTTTCAATTGTAAACTGCAGAACAACAGCGATATTTCCGCTTACACCTACGAGCGGACACTGATGATGGAACAGCGTAATCAGATGCTGAGAGCATTAGGTTTAAATAAGAAAGAAAACTCCAAAGTGGTAAGTGGTCAACATTTGGGCGGCAGAGTATCATCCACGACATTTGTTCTGCATCTGTACTTCTTCAAAATGAAGTTGTTCATACAAACGTTCTCATTATTGTTTTATTTATATGGCCATAATGCACATTTAGTGTTTTATTTTCTTTAATCTTTATTAGCATAGATTTTATATTCGTTCGTTTTGAAGGTTGCGTATTTTGATTTGAGTATTTGTTGGGAGGAAACCATTTTGCCCTTTGTTTCTCATGTACTTCCAATTTCCATTTCATATAACTATTTGAGATCCAAATTAAAATTTTACACTTTATATATTTAAAAATCAAAAGGTTCAGACTATAATGGACTTTAAGGAAACACCCAGTGATAATAAATTGTCTTTGGTAAAGAGTATAAACAGAATGACTATATTGATATATCAAGATACAAACTTTTCATTGCCCGAACTTTGTATGAAACCTGATTGTGTGTAACTCATCAGTACATCTTTCGGCCGGAGCACGTGTGCTTCTTTCATCCTTCATACATATCATAAACCTCTATGTGTTGTCTCAATGTGATGTTGCTAATGCTCACCCTCCTTCTATCTATTGTAACTCTATCAAATTGTAAATTATTCTCAACACCCACTATTGGACTTGCTTAATATGTAGCCGTTATCAGCAGAGTGTCAGGATCTTTTAAGTTGGCAAAGGCAAATCAATGTTTTCGAACAAGAATATCTTTTAAACTAAAATTCAAGAAGATTTAACGATTTTTAATTTTTTCAAGAAGTTGTTCTTAAGTCCGTGCTGTAATATATTATCATTTTTAAAAACACTTTGGTGCCACGAAGATGTACATTGGAATTTTCATTTGATAAGCTTTTTTAATAGTTAAGACACTTGCTTAAAGATCGATAAAGCTTTGATTTAAGATATTGATATCCAAGAAATATGTGCAGGGAAACCGAGTCTTAATAAAATTAACCTGCTTTGCGGAATGCATCCCGAGTATAGCTATTCCCTCTCTGATACTGGCCTCTCTACTCTTCTGCAACCTATTTTCTCATACTCCTCATGGTAACATTTTCAGGTTCAAACAATTGTAGACCACCATTATGACGCCACCAAAACGGCGTCTAAAGTTCGCTTCGCCGATCCAACTATAGAAGATATACACCACGTATGTATTGCTTTTCGATTTTAATTTACCATTGTCTCTAATCTCTCGATAATACACATAAGAACATATATAAAGTTAAGTAAGATCGACGAACTCATCAAATGTAAGCCTGACCCATTTTAATTTTAAGAACATATAAAAGAAATCCATGGTAGAACATGAAATCCATTTATGAGTTGACTTGAGATCTAATTTTAATGATATTTTGGCTTTTTAACATTGTTGATTTTACATAAACTTTTAAGTTATTCAAAATCGACGGCACTTGTCATTCGGAATCAAGGATATGAATAATTGTAGATATGTGATAATATTTTAAACGTGATTGAAACTCTGCAGGATTCTCAGAACGACGAGAAACGTAACTCAATTGATTTGGATGGTCCCGAAAACGCGGACACACCCGAAACAACTTCTAACAAGGATGAATCGACAGAGAAAGCCGACGGAGACTTTAAGTCCAGTGTGAAACCGTATGGAGGATTTCTTTTTACTTACTATTTGGTGTCCTAAAAACTCTATTTCCACAGGGATGAGTTCAATGTTCGTCGCATGCACACAGCAATAAAACTAAATGAAGTTATTGTAGAAAAGTCACAGGATGCCCAGTTGGTCATAATGAATTTACCTGGACCACCTAGGGAAGTGAGAGCGGAGCGTGAAAGCAATTGTAAGACTTCTGCTCCTCGAAAACAAATGGTCAAAAAGTAATCGATTTCTTTCTGTAGATATGGAATTTCTGGAGGTATTAACAGAGGGCCTCGAGAAAGTGTTAATGGTTCGTGGAGGAGGCCGAGAAGTTATAACAATTTACTCTTAAGAGCATTAATCGCTCAGTTTTATAAGAGTTCGCAACACTAGACAAGTTTAAGAATCAATCAAATTTTTAAAAGAAAGGTTATTAATTTGTTATATTCAATCATATGTCCAAATATTTTATTTTTACGTAAATAAAATATCAAAAAATTGTAACAATAAGAAAGAAGTGCATTTAGATTGGGTGGCTCTTATTACAGATGCAATGCATATCATTAGTTACTTTGGTAACATCGCTTGGAGACGGAGTAAACAGAGTATTTTTACAAAGGTAAAATCAACGTTTGTAAAATCAGGTGCATCTGGAATATTGCCCAACACTGCGATTCGGTAGTTTCTCCCAACTTTTGTTATTTCAACCGTAGCGAGTTGTACGTTTTATTACCTTCGATGGCTGAGAAATTTCTTGGGCAAAATAGACTAGATCGAAATTCCTGAAAACACTCGAAATACATTTCATATACTCTAAAGGTTTTCCTTAAATTCTCTATTAATGAATTCGGAAACGAAAGACCTGGATTTAAGAAAGGTTCGTATGGTGTTGTCTTGTTGAAGACTCTTCTGTTTATTTTGAACACGCAAGCAACTTTTTGGTATCCAGCGGTAACAGCCAAACAAAAGAACCAATAAACATATGCATTTGGGTTGATCCGAATATCACATTTATTGAACATTTTCTCTGCCACAGGGCGATGTAGAAAGACCGCACTTCGAGGCAGTTACCACATTGTCGGATTCCCAGGCGATTCGAAGCGTTGACTTTCATCCGAATGGAAAGTTGTACGCGGTGGGCTCCAACTCCAAGACCTTTCGCATCTGCCAGTACCCCCAGCTGTCCAAGCTGAGGTAATTACAACTTGGGGGTTTTCCATTTCGCAGTTATTTTAATTGTTTATCCCCTCAATCAAATGAAGACATGGCCAACAGACGGCGGTGTATCCCCCATCCGTTCTGTGCAAGCGAACGAAACACCACCGGGGATCCATATACTGCACCTGCTGGTCGCGGGATGGCGAACTCATTGCCACCGGATCGAACGACAAGACCATCAAATACATGAGGTTCAACAACGACACCAATCAATTGGTGGGTCACGAGATGGAGCTGAATATGCACGACGGCACGGTGCGGGACATGTGCTTCCTGGACGACTCGTCCACCAAGTCCAGACTTTTGGCGAGTGGCGGGGCGGGGGATTGCAAGATCTATATCACAGACTGCGGATCTGGGACTCCCTTTCAGGCTTATAGTGGCCATAGTGGGCACATCCTGTCGCTCTACAGCTGGAACAATGCGATGTTTGTGTCGGGATCTCAGGTAGGTCTGAAAGGAAACCCATAAACCAAGTAATAGAACGGTCCCTTGCAGGATCAAACGATACGTTTCTGGGATCTGCGAGTAAACGTATCCGTGAACACTTTGGACAATGAACGGAAAGATGGTGGATTGGAGAACTCGGCGGTCACAGCAGTTTGTGTGGATCCCACAGGCAGACTCTTAATTTCCGGACATGCTGACAGCTCTTGTATTCTGTACGACATTCGTGGCAATCGACCCATTCAGCGCTTCTATCCCCACACCGCTGAAATAAGGTAGTATTGGGAATAAAAACCATTTTTAGCCAAGTGATAACCCATGTCCTCCAAGGTGCGTCCGCTTTTCCCCATCCGCCTACTACATGCTGACTTGCAGCTACGACAACTCGATCAGGCTAACAGATCTGCAGGGAGACCTGGCCCACGAACTCTCCTCCGTGGTGGTGGCGGAGCACAAGGACAAGGCCATCACCATCCGATGGCATCCAACCGAGTTCTCATTTATCTCCACGTCCGCGGATAAGACGGCCACATTATGGGCCCTACCGCCTTCGTAAGGGGTAAATCATTGTTCCAATAACGGCTTTAATTTCGTTGTCAATATTGTATTTCTGCAGAATAGTTCAGACTGATCTAATTTATTAAATAAACCGCATTCCATTAAAGTAGTTGTCTATAAATTAATATGGGCTGCGAAAACGATTCGTAACGTAAATAAAAACACATCATTCTAATTTATATATTTGGTATATATTTATTTAAATCCGTTCTTACTAACCCACAGTTCCATTAATGTTTTACTTTCTAAAGCAAATAAATTGATTTATGTTGGATTTAATGTTGCAGTTGCAAGTAACAGGGCTGGCTTAGCGATTAATACACGAATGATAAAGGCAGAAAAATTTGTCCTCCTTCACATTCATTTTCACATTCGTATCGGTTTTGGTGGTCCAAACCTTTACATCCTGTCGACGACGACGTCAGGAACTAAATTTCATTTTTTTTGGGCGAATAACGGTGGCAATTATTACCGGGTATTCATGATCTAGGGATTAACCAACGCAAGAGCAAACCAAAACTCATGGGTGGATAGGGTTCTTTTCATTTGGATTTAGGACCAGCTAAGCGTCATTAGCGATCTGCGGCTTCCGAAATTTTGGAATTTGGCAGTTTCGGTGGGTTCATACTTACAGCCTAGTAGGATTTTCAAGGGGAGGAAATGTATGTTTCTACTAGAGGGAATTGGGAAAAGTACACAGGCCAGTTTCGGATTTCTTGTTTTATTATTTCGATTTTACGTTTAGATATCTTACATGCTGAATTTCAACTCTGTGTTTTCTCGTTTATGCCGACGAGTGCGATAATGTAATAGACCATAATGTACAGTAATTGTTCTTTTCTACATTCACATCAAATTTGGCGCACTCGGACATAATATAATAACTGCACGTACTTTTCTAAAGCAGGGATGGATTCAATTTGTGTTATTGTAACTAATCGGGGTCCAATTAATGAAATCTGGGATTGACTGTATAAAATAAAACAATAGTTCATTGAGAGATGGTGTATAGGTAGGTGGGTTTATCAAGACGTCGGTAGCATCTGCCAAGAGGGATTCTTTGCACCAACGAGTCACGTGCACGTGCAAGCAAACGGAATTTTAAAAATAACTTGCGGTAGCGAACATAAGCTTTTTTGGGGGAGTTTTGGGTCCCATTCGTCGGGTTTTCGTAGAGCCAGCAAGTTTTAGTTCTGCATAATTTATTTCTTTAATGTTAATGGTGTAGGTAATTTTTGTTTAATCAATTCACAGCGTCTCTAATTGTATAACAGAGTAAATTATGTATAATGTTAATTTAATAAGGTATTCTCTAAAAATGCTAGAAGGATTACTTAATTCCTTACAACTGAGGCTGACATAAATTACACAATTTGCTTTCAATAAATCCCTCAAACATTTTCAATGCGATTGTTGGACCGCGCAAACTGTTTTCGGATAGATGCCATATATGCATTATAAACGATCGCCAGAGACCCTGATCCTAATCATTTGCTCAAATATGTACATACAATACAATACAAATGGAAACGGACACCGAGACGATTGTGTCGCGCCCAGATTTTGGGAGTTAATTGTGTACCGAATCGTTTATTTACTTAATATCTTGTGCTCAAAATAATTCTTACAATTATGGAATGAATGAACCAATATTTGTATTTCGGTGCGAGTAGCCAAATGACGCAATAAAGGGTTTATAAATATATGCAATTCAATTACGTTAAATAAACCAAGTTAAGAATACTCTTCCAAATATCATTAGGACGCTTCGTTGAAATCTTTGAATACATCAACGTACAGATAGATTCGATTAGGAAAGGTTTTTGGTTCTACTTAAACAGATTAAACAAAAATTGTTCATGAACGTTCATCAATTATAATGTTTTGTTCTTTTGCATGATTAAGCCTACACTTTAGTATTTCAGTTACTAAACACAGAGACGAATATGTGAAGATAAATAAGTTTGGTTTAATACAAACAGCCATCTCATTTCCAGAAATTTGATTTTCCTTTAAGTTTCTTTTTGGCAACCCAGTGAAAATTATATGACGAAAACTAACTAATGTAATTGAATATACCAGTGTGGAACTTTCTTATGTATATATAGCATTGTATGTACAAAAAGCAATCCTGCTAAATATATATTTAGGGTATACGCGTGTTAGATAAATCGTTAGCTCATAGAAAATATTGATCATTTAACGCTGTTTGTTCAAAGCCAAAAGCCAGGGAGTGAGTCAGTCGGCCCATCTTTTGGTGTCACCAGTCAATTCTGTGACACCGGGGTGGAAATCAGTAGTATTTGGGAACAAACTTCATGTGGGTTATAGTCGTTACGTTAGATGTATATAATTGTGGGTTTCATGTTTCTGTTTCTGTTTATATTTAGTAACATTTTATACTAGAAATTAGAATAATGAAGTTGGGCTTATGGATTATAATTATATTCTTAAAGCATCATAGCGTACAGCAGGCCAAAGAAGACAGCCCACATTAACACAATCCCATGCATCTTATATATAGGACTCTCACCATCTGCGATTTTTCTAGCAACAAACTTCAATGTCTCATCTAATAAAACTACAGGAATTGAGAATTTCATCACAGTTATCCATTCCTCTGCAGACAACGGTGTCACTTGGAAGACGGTCTGTGTGAGATAATTAGGTTAGTATTTGGAAATATGTACAAGTGCTTATCGCCTGTTACTTACGGAGAGGACATCGACGTAAAGAATAACAAAGTGAAGAGTGAAGGAGAGTGCCATTGATCCAATCAGCCACAGGTTGCACCATGGGGGCATGGTAATCAGCGACTGGTTCTCAGACAAGCTAATCAAAATCAAACAAAGGGAATTTGGTTCGTATCTATTGTGTCTATCATTCCTTATCTGATTTACCTGTTCATTGCGTTCAACATTTCGATTGTCACCAGCACGGACAAAGCCATGGTCATCGCATGGGGGTCGCTGAAGATCTTGCAGTCAACGCCCTTGAACTCGTCACCACCGCCCAAGCAGGCCAGATGGTGAGTCAGCTGCCAGTAGGTCAGTTTGGGTCCCTCGTCGGAGAACACGAACCACCAGGCGGCGGCACCGACGGTGGCAGCGCCGACATAGAATCCAATAGCCATGTAACTGAATTATAATATGGAGATTCGTTGTTGCTTAAATCTGTTTAAAGAGCTTAAAGAGCTGGGGTACCCACCGGAAGAACAACCATCCGGAAATCAGACCCTCATCGGCCTTCCTGGGGGGCTTCTCCATGATATCCAGATCAGGTGGGTTGAAGCCAAGAGCGGTGGCTGGGAGACCATCAGTAACCTGTGGAGACACAGCTATTAGCGACCGCCCCAAATAGTTAATACGCCATTAATATTTACCAAGTTAACCCAGAGCAGCTGGACGGGAATCAGAGCCTCGGGCAGACCAAGGGCAGCAGTAAGGAAGATGGAGACGACCTCACCAATGTTCGAGGAGATGAGATAGCGAATGAACTGCTTCATGTTGTTGTAAATAGCGCGACCTTCTTCAACGGCGGACACGATGGAGGAGAAGTTGTCATCAGCCAGCACCATTTCGGCGGCAGACTTGGCAACAGCGGTACCAGAGCCCATGGCAATACCGATCTCGGCCTTCTTCAGGGCGGGGGCGTCGTTCACACCGTCACCAGTCATGGCAGAGATTTCGTTCATGCCCTGCAGGAACTCAACGATCTTGGACTTGTGCTGGGGCTCCACGCGGGAGAAGAGTCGGGAGCGGGCGACGGCAGCCTTCTGTTCGGTGGGGGAAAGGTCGTCGAACTCGCGACCGGAGTAGGACTTGCCAGTGGTGTCCTCTTCCTCGGTGAACACACCGATCCTGCGGCAGATAGCTTCGGCAGTGGCCTTGTTGTCGCCAGTGATCACAATAACGCGAATACCAGCGGCACGGCAGCGCACAATGGAATCGAAGACCTCCTTACGGGGGGGATCCAACATACCCACAACACCGACGAAAGTCAGGTTGACCTCATACTGGTAGAACTTGGTGGAATCGCCCAGATCCATCTCATCGGGCTTCATTGGGCTATCGGCAACGGCCAGAGCCAAGCAACGGAGGGTATCGCGTCCAGTACCGTACTGACCGGTCAGGGCCAGGATCTTGGCCTTCAGGGCCGAGGTCAGAGGCACCTTGCTGGTTCCAACGCGGGCGTGTGTGCAACGCTCCAGGACACCCTCAGGGGCGCCCTTAACGAACAGCTTGGGTCCAGTGCCCAGGCGGGAAGCCTTCAGGGGGGTGCAGTACGAGGACATGGATTTACGATCGCGAGAGAACTCCAGGGTGAACTCCTTCTTCCACTTGGTCTCAATCTCACCGCGGCAAGCGATGGCAGCGGAGCGGCGGTCCAGGCCAGACTTGTTAACGCTGAAGCTGTTCAGCTTCTCAGCCAGCACAATCAGGGCGGTCTCGGTGGCCTCACCGACCTTCTCGAAGGCCTGCTTGAACTCATTGTAATCAATAGCGGAGTCGTTGCACATGATGCAGATGGTGGACAGTTCCTGTAGAGCATCGTGGTCGGCAGCCTTGACACGCTGGCCGCCCAGGAACAGCTCGCCGATGGGCTCGTAGGTGGAGCCGGTCAGCTCGAATTCCAGGAAGCTGCTGTCGTTGCCCTCGACCTTGTCGAAGATGAACATGCGCGAGACGGACATCTGGTTGGTGGTGAGTGTGCCGGTCTTATCAGAGCAGATAACGGAGGTGCAACCCAGAGTCTCCACGGAAGGCAGGGAGCGGACGATGGCGTTCTTCTTGGCCATGCGGCGGGTGCCCAGAGCCAGACAGGTGGTGATGACAGCGGGCAGACCCTCGGGGATGGCAGCGACAGCCAGGGCGACGGCGATCTTGAAGTAGTAGATGGCACCCTTGATCCAGGAACCACCGTGGGCGGGGTCGTTGAAGTGGCCAATGTTGATGGCCCACACGGCCACGCAAATGACGGAGATGACCTTGGACAGCTGCTCGCCGAACTCGTCCAGCTTCTGCTGCAGGGGCGTCTTGATCTCCTCAGTCTCGGACATCTCGGTACGGATCTTGCCGATGGCGGTGCTCAGGCCAGTGCCGATGA